CCCGCCCGCCACGCCCCCAGGTGAGGAGCCCTTGGGAGGAGGCAGTGATGTTCCGGCAGCTCCGCGTCCGCAGCCTGAACGTGGGTCCCCGCGGCTGAAACGCTGACGGTTGCTTTGGGTTTCACATTCTAGATTTGACGCGCCCCCCTGAAGGCGCCATGAGCTTTTTCCGACTCCTGATGAAAAAGAAGGAAGTAAGTGTTTTTTTAAGCGATCATTAAAAAAAAAAAAGAAATCTTGACTAAATGTTAACTTTTAAAGATGAGCAACTGGGTGGTGCAGAGTTTGGAAAAAAGAAACCGATGGCTGGCTATTTTGATGTATGTAAGGCGCTTCAGGTTGAAAACATTTCTGCACACATTTACCGTCAACCTTTTCTCTGTTAGCTTATTCCTCTGGCTCTGATTATGACCGTCGCAGCGAGCGGAGCCTCCTCTTTCGCTGTCTACTCCCTCCGAAAATCCGATGTGATGTGAGTAGTCATTATTTACATCATAAGAACGCTTTCAGGTGCTAGTTGACTTTCAGCATATACGGGTAACATTTTCCTAGTTGTTTTTTTTTGCCAACTCACCCCCAGCCGGGGAAGAATTTCAAACCATGAACTTGAAGGTCGGGGCCAGAAAGCATCTTTGATAGCAGGAGTCTTTGAAACGATACTAATAAATTAGTTGGTTCCCTGGTCCTCATCCATCTCCTCTCTACAGTAAAGTTCAAATTTGATTTTCTTAAGCTTTGAAAAGTAAAATTCTTAAAAATGGCCTTTGGGGCTCTACAGCCGTCCAACATGAATAATCATTGTCATTCAAAAGTTAACATTAGAAAGATATTGCCTAATGTGGTAAATTTGATAGTTAATTGTGTACAATCAACCTCAGCTTGGCTTTGGCTCTTTCACTTTGTGTCTTGGTATATAGTAAAGATCAATGAGAAAATGATCTTGGCTCCGTACAGGGCTAGAGAGGGCAGCAAGCGAGTCACTGACAAGAGAACCTCAGTGCGGCTTCATCGCCTGAGAGCTTACACCCAGGACCTCCACTGGTGGCAGAGTCCGAGAGCAAGAAACAGTTTTGCTTGCTCTTAACCTGGCAGTTCCACCCCGATGCCATTCAGCAGCTCTCTCAGAATAAAGGGAATAGAGATCTCTCAACACTGCTTAGAGGGATTGACTCCATTTTGGAGCCAAACTGTGAAACTCCCTTAAGGAGTCGGCCTCTGATGTCTGGTCCTATTGAAATTAGCTACAGGTGAATGCCTTGTATGCGGATGGGGTCAAGTCTCTAGACCCGATATTACTGTTGTTTAAAAAATACACTTTAAAATTGAATTAGCTTTCTTTTATTTTTAGCACTGATAGAAAAAATAATCCAGAACCTTGGGAGACTGTGGATCCTACTGTACCGCAAAAGGTATTGCTAAATAATGGCAAGGAAAGGATTTATACTTTGCCCAGCCCTTAGCACTCTGGTCAGCAAAGTGGATTCTACCTTTCGGGGTTAAGGGTGGTGTGTGTTAAAGAGCATGAGAGGCTAAGAGGAATCCAGTTCAAACCCTTGCTCCCTTATTAACAGGAGACTTTGGACAAACTGACCGCTGTGAGGCGCTGCGTTTCTGTAAAATGAGCTCCTCTCCCTCCTCGGTGTTGTTAAAGGCAGAAAGATGGTAACACACAAACGCATAGGGTCCGTTAGCACAGTGCCTCCTACCCAGCCCGCAGGTGATTGTACTATGTTATCTCATGAACTTTTACTGATCTGACGATGGAAGGAGTAGTGTGACCAATAAGAGCTCTCAAACATAGAAGTAGTCTCTTTAAGCAAATAGCTGCTTGTTCTTTTAAGATTATTGCAGGGATATTTTTATATTTTAAGTAGTTTTTGAAATATAACATTGAATTTGTGGTTATGAACCCTAGCTTTTCAAGGGTTTGTTTTTTGTTTTTTTGGCCTTAGTTTGTTATTACAAAGCACTCAGGGAACATAATTTGGCCTAGGGAAGAGACATTACGATGTTTAAAACTACCTTTATCCTGGAGGAATAACAAACTGCTGGATAAATGAAAGTCCCTCAAAGGGGAGTTCTTTGGCAGTCAAGAGCTAGCGAATCTTCAGCACGGCCCCTTTTCCTCTAGTGCAAGTTAGGGCATCTGTACCCTCATTGAGTCATTACAAGGAGGAACATTAATTAAGGGTCAACTAGATACAAAGCCCTGTGGTTGAAGCTTTTGTGGCCGTTACGTGTCTACCACAAGGCACAGTCTCTTTAAAATCCAAGGCTCACATGAAACCGTGAGAGTTCACAAAACAGCAAAACACTAAACGCCCTGTGCTTGAGTGGGTTCCGACTCTGGTAGATCTCATGGGTGTCCGAGTAGAAGGAAGCTCCAGAAGGTTCTTAGTGTTTCCTTTTCAAAGGCCTGGAGGAGTGGCAGGCGGGACTCACACCTTTGGATGAGCACCTGTCCATTAATCGTGTGTCCAACTCACAGATGAAAATAAGTCCATCTAGGTCCTGTTCTTTGATCTCATAACATATAGGAATCCAAAGGCTTTGGGGAGAGAAGGATAGAAACCAGCCCAGCCCACTACCATTCAGTGCGTGTTTCAGGGCTAGCTGGGAAGAGGTGGTTCTTTGACCCAAAACAACAACAATGGTGACGCGTTTCCTGAAGGGGACAGGAACACAGTACGAAAGGGGACCTGAGGTCAAAGGGCAAGTCTTTGTAATCAAAGTGTTTTGTTTGTTTCTTTGAAGCTAATAACAGTCAACCAACAATGGAAGCCCATTGAAGAGCTGCAGAAGGCCAGAAAGGCGACCAAATGACCAGCTATGGTTCCTGTCTTCCAAAGACTGTTCTGTGAATCCAGGGGAAACACTTCCGCTGCACAAGCTAGGTTACAGAAACCAGTGTTCGGGAAGGCTTCTGCTACATTTTTAGGGTGTCACCTACATTTTAGACTTTGAATAAGCAGTTCAAGGTAGTGTAGCAAGAACCACCTGGTCCAAAATGAAATTCCTGTGTTTATTTTTCTTGTTGTAAATTTGAATTTTGCATATTGAAAGTTTTTGATGCCTGAGTGTTTTCCTTGAAATGTGTAAAGATTTATAAATCAGATTGTCATATTAATAAAATACCATTTGTGCAACACTGCTTAAAAGATTAGATGCATGCAAAAAAAAACATGCTTAAGTGGAGCATACGTTTAAAAAAATCATTTTATTAGGGGCCCATACAACTCTTATCACAATCCATACATACATCCATTGTGTCAAGCACATTTGTACATTCATTGCCCTCATCATTCTCAAAACATTTGCTCTCCACCTAAGCCCCTGGCATCAGCTCCTCATTTTTCCCTCTCCCTCTCCACTTCCCCCTCCCTCATGAGCCCTTGATAATTTATAGATTACTATTTTGTCATATCTTACACTGTCTGACATCTCCCTTCACCCACTTTTCTGTTGTCCATCCCCCAGGGAGGAGGTTATATGTAGATCCTTGTAATCGGTTCCCCCTTTCCAATCCACCCTCCCTCTACCCTCCCGGTATTGCCACTCTCACCACTGGTGCTGAAGGGATCATCCACCCTGGATTCCCTGTGTTTCTAATTCCTATCTGTACCAGTGTACGTCCTCTGGTCTAGCCAGATTTGTAAGGTATAGAATGGGGATCATGATAGTGGGGGTGGAGGAAGCTTTTAGGAACTAGAGGATAGTTATATGTTTCATTGGTGCTATACTGCACCCTGACTGGGTTGTCTCCTCCCCGAGACCCTTCTGTAAGGGGATGCCCAGTTGCCTACAGATGAGTTTTGGGTTTCTACTCTGCACTCCCACCCTCATTCACAATATGCTTTTTTGGTCTGATGATGCCTGATACCTGATCCCTTCGACAGGAGGATACTTTTTATGGAGAACCCACACACATTCTGAAGCCCCAAACATTATCTTTTAAATAACACCAGTATAAGTTTTTTGTGTGAACTTTTCCTCCAAGTTCATTCATCAGAAGTAAACTGAGCACTGACCGTGTTCCAAGCACGGCTCTCTGCAGGTAAGATAAAGCAACGATCAAAACCAAACGTCAGAGGGGTGTAAGTCAAATAGGGTAAGTATGATGGAGGATAATGAAGTGGAGATTGTGTGTGTGTGTGTGTGTGTGTGTGTGTGTAATTCACATGAGGACTGGTTTTGGAGGGTGTGCTGGGGTTCTGCTGGTGCACAGGAATGAGGTGGGGTGCTAAGATGGGCTTTAAAGATGCCAAGGGCCCTAACGGTGATGCCCCTGGGGAGGGCAGAGGGAGAGTACACAGGGGACCACTCTACCTGGCAATGGGAAGCTGGAAATGCTAAAGTCGTGATCATACCCAGCCTGCTCCTGGGCTCCCTCTGGACTGCCCTCCACATTAGGACCAAATAGAGAGTGACTTTTTCATTGGCTTGAACATCAAAAACCTTGGGACATAATTCATACATTGCTTTTGTCCTTTTAAAGTGTAAAAATGCTTAGTATATTCACAGAATTGTGCAACTCTCTTCATGATCTAATACTAGAACAGTTTCCTCTTCCCATAAAGAAAGCTCGGGCCCATTAGCAGTCCCTCCCCTTTCCCTCGTCTCCTAGCTCCTGAGAAACAAACAACGTGGCCATTTCTCTGCACTTGCCTAGTCTGACATCTCATATAAGCGGGATACCACCGTGTGTGGCCTTTGGGTCCGTCTACGTTTATTGAACATAACGGTCGTCAGGGCTCATGTATGTTGTAGCAGGAATCGGCACCTCGCCCCTTGTAATGGTTGCATGATATTCCGTGGGATGCCTGTCGTTAGGTGCCCCTGAATCGGCTCTGACTCAGCGGCCCTGTGGACACCAGAAGGAAACCCTGCGCCATCCCCACGACGGCGGTTCGCTGTGAGCCCACTGGGACAGCCTCTGTCAGTCCATCTCCTTGAGAGTCTGCCTCTTGCTTGCTGCCCTTCTACTTTACCGCACCTGGTATCTTTTCCCAGTGACTGGTCCCTTCTGATGACGTGACCAAAGTACACGAGATAGGACATATAGCACTTTTTAAAATTCATACATTAAAAAAAGACAAGCCCAAACTCATTGCCATCGAGTTGATTCTGACTCACAGAGACCGTATAGGTCAAGGTCGAACTGCCCCTGTGCGGTTCTGAGAGAGTGACTTCACGGGAGTATTGAAAGCCTTGTCTTTCTCCCACAGAGCAGGTAGGGGTTTTGAACTGCAGGCTTGCAATCAACAGCCCAATGGGTAACCACTGTACCAAACATCAGCTGAGAGATATTTGAATTGCCTCAAGTTTGGGGCTCTCGTGAAGAATCCTATAAGAGACTAAGAAAAAAGAATCATGGAAAATGGAGTTGAAAGATAATGGAAAATGTCCACACACTTTTGGAGGTCCTTCAAATAAGTTCTAGGGTAGATACATTTTCAATTATCTTGAGTATATACCTGGGTTCATTAACTCTTAAATAAAAATAATATAAATTTCCATGTGAATGTAATAGAAATTTAAGAAGAGTAAAATTCTAGTCAGCTATATAACATTAAAAAACAGCTCACCTTTGCGGGAGACTTAGCAAGACTGCTTCCTCCCACACGTCTGCCCCCTTGCCACCTCAGGTGTTCCCAAACGAAAATGTTTCCTGGTTGAGCTCAAGGAATTGCATGTGCTAATTGGGAAGCACTTTTGGGGGTGGGGTGGGGCAGGGAGTAGCCACCAGGCCTTTCTTCCCCGGACATGGTGGTGGTGGTGACTCAGTGACACTGCCCCGCCCTGCGCCTAGCTCATAATTGTTCTACGTTTGACCCCATGGTTGCAGCCACGGTGTCAATCCAGCTCGGCAAGGCTTCCTCTTTTTCACTTTACCCAGCCGTAAGTCCTTCCCCAGCGACTGGTCTCTCCCGATCGCATGTCCGAAGTCCACGAGACTAAGTCTCACCATCTTTGGTTCTCGGGAGCACAATGGAACTTCGGTTTGGTACTTCTTCTCAGACAGATTGGGGGGTTCTTTGGGCAATCTACGGTGCTTTCAACGTTCTTAACCAGCACCAGTCTCCCTTACTCAATGCCCAACTTTCACGTGCAGTGAAGGTGATTGAAAACACCAGGGTTTGAGTCAGGGACACTTTAGTTCTCAAAGTGACAGCCTTGCTCTTCAATTCTCTGGAGAGATTTTGTGCAGCAGACTGACC